GTGCGGCCGCGCAGGCTTCGGAGGGCCGCCCTGAGCTCGCCTTAGGGCACTCTCAAAAACATTAATCACAGTGCAAATGGTACTTGTGACTGGAAGACGCTTTCCTCAGTCGTCGCGACCCTGAGTCAATGCAGAGTCCAGCAGGGGGCAGAACTGGAGCGCCTGTCTGCGAGGGCCGGCCGGGCAGCCGTCCAACTTCAACGCAGGAATTCTTAGAAGGAAAAGAGCTTCGTTCGGGAGAGAAGCCACCTATTAATTCCGTCTACCCCGGAAAAGCAAACAGGAAAGATAATAAAGGCCATATAAATTACTTTGGTTATATATTTAGAAGTGACAAAATGATAGTAATTAGAACGCACATACACGTAAAACTCCAAAATTATTTGTCTAGAAATGAGACATACCTGGTTATTTTCTAATTTAAGTGTAGAAGACAATCTTAAGAAGGGGTTCCACTGTAGTAAGCATTTCAGAAAAACTGTTTTTTCAGCAAGATTAGGAAATAACAAAAAATAGGAAGTAAAACCGTGTCCACCCAGATAAAAACTGAAAATTTGAAGTTAATCTGAGGCAAATTTTTGCATAGCTTTAGGTCACTGCCATTATTTAAAGTCAGTTTCAATGAACAATTTCATTGCAATTTATCTTGCATGAGAAAACTGAGACATTCTGATCATCTACTTCTCCTTCCCGTAGTCAACCTGTCAACAAATTCTGTTGATTTTTTACCTGCCAATTTTTTCACAAATCTGACCTCTTCTGGCTTTTCCATCATCACCCTTTCTAAATTGTTGTTGTTGTTGTTGTTGTTTGTTTTGTCGTTTGAGACAGGTCTTACTTTGTAACACAATCTGACCTTGAACCCACTGCGTAGCCACGATCCTCACAAGCATGCACCACGGCTCCAGGCTCTAAATCTCCACACAATAGTCATTTTTAAAAAAATACTTTACAATGTGACCCTGAACAAACACTTCCCAGAACAATCACTTCCAGCTTCCCAATCTAACTAACCAAGCAGTGCAGGGTCAGCTACCTTGGCCACCTCCCCTCACTGCTCACACAGCAGCCCATCCGGCTGTCTGTTCCAGTCCCTCTGACCTCTTCTTCTGTGTTTACCAACCTTCTCCTTACGGAGGGTTTGCTCACGTTTGTTCTCTGCCTGGAAAGTTCATCCAACCTTCATCCTTCTGACTCCAGCCTTAGTCTCCAGCTCTGAGAAGCACCTGCTGATCTTCCTAGGTTGGTCCCTCGCTGCTACCAGTTTGCATGAAACTGTAATTTTATGCCATTTTGGTGAATTTGTGTTTCTCCCAGTAGACAGTTAGCTTCATAAGGCTAGGATCTTGGTTTTCTTTGTTTCATAGGTTTTTTAAAAAACTTCTTCAGTACATATTTGCTCAATGGGTGAAAATCAAGGTGCTAGAACTTAAACTAGATGTGTCTTAAAGGTCACCTACACCACAAAAGGTAAAAAGTCACAATTTCACCTTTGGAACGTTTAGAAAAAATATTTTAAAACTGCTATTGTAGGGGCTGGAGATTTAGCTCAGCGGCAAAAGCGCCTGCCTGGCAAGTGCAAGGTCGTGAGTTCGGTTCCCGGTACCGGAGAAGAACAAAAAAAACAAACAAAAAAACTGATATTGTAGTATTTGAGCCGGGCTATCATGAGATTCTTTGGGTACCTTTTAAAACCAAGTTCTCAAAATGGTCTGTGTAAATCCCTGAATCTAATGATAGCTGTTAGGCCCATGTGAAACTAATAGCACTAGTTGCTTCAAGAAAGGAAGACTGGGTGAGTAGGGGTCAGGGTTGGGAAGGAGAATTTTTATTGTGTACCTAAAAGGTTTTAAACAAGCTGGATGTGGTTGCACATACTTGTAATCCCAGCACTCGGGAGGCTGAGGCAGGAGGATCGTCATGACTTCGAGGCCAGCCTGGGCTACAAAATGAGTTCAAGGACGGCCTGAACCACAAAGTGAGACTTTGTCTCAAAAAATCAACAAAAACTATACCTTTTAAATTTTAAGCATATGAATGTATTACCAATTTGAAAATAAATGATACCAGGGTGCATACTGTAAGATTCCACTTACTGGAAATTCCAGAAAAGGTAAAACTAATTATGGTGGGAAGAACATCATAACACAGATGAAAGTGTAGCTAAGTGGTACAGCATGCCCTTAGGATGCAGGATTCCCTGGGTGCAATCACTAGCACCATGCAGGTACACAGAGAGAATGGGAAACTATAAACTGCTCAGTATCCCCAACACTTGGCACAGTAGCTGTTCAATGTAGTTTGAATGAATAATGAAAAACAAGCCTGGTGTTGACTGTATTGATATGAATTATATTTATAGTTATATGAAATATTTATATATTATATATTTTCTGGGATCCAGAAACTTCCATATTAATGCAAATGGCTATACTATCATCTAAAATTTTTAATTTATATTTTGAGGCTTGGGGTATAGGTTAGTGTAGAGGACTTGCCTAGCATGTGCTAGGTTCAATCCCCAGTATTGCAAAATATATACTTTTAATATGTTTATGTATATATATCTGTATAATTTATACCAATTCGGCACTGTTACATTAAGTGCCTGAGATATATTATTTTAAATGAATGAGAGAGAAGCTTGTATCATTAGCACTGAGCCTCCAGTGCTATTCCTGATTTATGCCTTTCTTTCACCTGACCATCAACTTATTTGGTGAAAGAGCTTAGACTTTAACATCTCACTGAAATAGCTAATTCCAGTCAGAGAACGGGCTGACTCTAACCTTTCACAAGTGCTCGAGCACTTGCGTAAGTGAAATCTTCCTGTGTGAATCCCACACTCACACCACCTCTGCTCCAGTCCCTGCCACTCTGCACTTACATTCTGGAACCGATATGAGAAGAAGATGGGGCACGCACAGGACAGCGGGCTTCAGCACCCTCCTCAGAGGCAGTTTTCTTTGCAGCAGTTCCGATAGCAAGTTTAAGTTTTCTATATTCTGATACCGCACACCCATGGATTTGGATGACTATCCGGAGGAGAATCCCTCTAAACCTGGTAAGACTTAATCCTAGAATACTATGAATGGAACTGTAATTTGTTCAAGCCAGCTGCTTGAGCCCCATTGCTCACAGAAAGAAAAAATAGGGAAAACATTTGCCAGAGGCCAAAGTAACCCCAGATAAAGAGGAGGAACTCGCCTATGAAGTCAAACCCAGTGGTGAATGCCCAACCCGACCTAGGCAGCTAGTATTCAAGCTTCCTTAGAGAACAAGGTACTCGGTTACATTGCAGGATTGTGCTATCTAATACAGCAGCCATGAGAGCCACTAGCCATGTGTGCTTACATTTACAGTTTGAGTTTCTCACTCATACATTTCAGGTGCTCGATAACAGTACGTGTGGCTAGTGGCTATCGTCTGTGACAGACACAGAAAAAGAGCTCATCTATCAGAAAGTTCTACTGGCAGCACCATTCTAGAAAAAGGAGAAATAGAAACCCTTGGAGAGTCACAGCTAATGTTCAGAACTTTTCATTTTGGGAAAAATGAAGGCTCACAATGAAACAGTGACAGCCTACCTCACTAGGCTTATTAACTTTCCACAACATGAATGTAAGAGGTACTCATGCACAAAATCTGTGGCCTCTCCACCTGTTGGGATTATAAGAAAGGCTTTAGACTCACCACTTTTGCCTTTACTATATCCATTCTTTGCAGGACACTGACCTCCATTTTAGGAAAGAACAATTGTTAAGCAGCATATCTCTTGGCACTTGGGCATATTCAGAGACTAAATTTGCTATTGTGGTAAATAACAAGCTTTGTGGCTCTAGAGTTTAGACATCATTTCTATATGTGATTTTAGGCATTAATACTATCAACCCAAACAACAGCTTTTGGAATTGTGCCACTAAAATAGGACAGCAATCACATGCTAACCTCTACTCTAGCCCCTGAAAGAAGTCCTTTTTTTTGGTACCAGGAATTGAACTCAGGACCTTGCATTTGCCAGGTATGCACTTGTGATGCTGAGCTATATCCCTGGCCCAGAAGTCCATTTCTTTCTCAAATACCCGTTTTAAAGTAAGATAAAATTTGGCACAACTAGAATTAGTAATTTTACTTCAACTATCCAGTTTTCTGGAAACTAGTAACTTCTGCTCACCCCACCCCGACCCCGTAGTGGGAGCCAAACTCACGACCTTGAGCTTGCCAGGCAGGCGCTGTGGCACTGAGCTAAATCCCCAGCCCGTAACTTCTGTATTAGTGCAAATGATGAAACTATAAAATTGTAAGTTGTACTTGCCAAAAGGATTTAACCCCTTTAAAGCCCCCATCTTCTCATCCATAAACCAGAAATAATAACAATACCTACTTAAGCATTGTAGTGATAATTAAATGGAGCATATGGGCAAAGTACATAAGCCTTCAACAAGTTAGAGGTATTGTAATTGCTATTTCCAAGGCCGTAAGGAATGAATGTGCAAAAATAAAAAACATAAGTAAATTTGAAAATCCTAAATTTAAAAATCCGAACTCTGCCACCTGCTAATCATCTGACCTTACACCTCTATTAACTTCAGTTTCTTCATCAGCTAGTTAAGGATAATAGATGTGAAATGTGTTTTCATTTCATGGGAAATGGCCAACTCACAGCAAAGCCAGGTATGATCTCTAGCTGATGTCAACTAGCACTTTGCTCTCACTTCCACAAAAAAAGAAAAAAAAAAGTAAGATAAAAAGAAAATGAAACTACATTAGGAAAGCTTCACGGTAAACTTATTTCAGCCTTTATTAATGCTCTGTGCTTCTGAACACAATCAGGAAGGAACACTGCTGAAATCATCACCGAAAGTCCACACAACACCCACATTCCCACCAGCTGGGTTTTGTTAACAAATACTGTAGTAACCAGCCATTCTTCTTTGAGTAATCTTTTCTCCATCTGAGAGATCTGAAGCCCATACAGGCAGTCAAGGCCTCCTCTGTGAATGTACATTTAAAAAAAAAAAAAAGATAACCAGAAGACAGTTACAGCCAGGAGAGAAACTGTGTTAAATTGCAAACAGCCAATCACTAAAATACCTTTCTTGCTGGTATGAAATTAAGTCTCACGTTCCATAAATTCTTGATTATCATTCAAATGGCCACAATAGAATGAGATAACATCCTTAAAATAAAGTTGAAGAAATATTCACAAGCTGTTCCTGTGTTTTAAAGATTATGCAAGGTATACACATCTTAATTCAATTATAAAATATTTGTATAACATTTAATATAAAATCAAACATCATTTTAGACCTTTACCTGTTTCCCTTTAGGGTTTCTAAAGGCAGTCATTTTGGTGGTAACCATGATAAGCAGAGAAAACAAGCAGACAGGGGACTTGAATTGAATTTATAGCTGACTCATAGGGAGTGTTTACAACGACACTGCCACGGGGATCCACCCATTTAACACCCTTTCAGTTCCACCCTACACATCTGTTAGGGAGGACATTTAAGGAAAGCTGGGAATGTGGAGGAGTAGGAATACTGAAACCAAAGCTTTTCCAGGTGCTATGAATGCTACTCTATTTTGGTTTTCTTCTTACTTTCCTTCTCTCCCTCCTGTTCTTTCCTTTCTTCCTCCATTCCTTCCTTCATTTCATGAGTTGATTTGTCTCAGAAGGATCTTGTAATTAGTTACTGTGTTCGGGATGCTGACTCTGAAGCATTGGCTAGAAGCTTCCATAATTGGTTTCGGTTCCTAGAATTTGACCCTTGACAATATTACGAATTTGTTAGAATTCTCCATTTGGACTGATTCTCTCCCCACCCCCTTTCCCTCTCTATAACTGAGGGTTTGGCAATTCTACAGATAACTGTGTTCTATTAGTAGATACTGCATTTTTCTTACTCAGGGACTATCAATTGCAAGCTTACTCTAATACAGAAGCAAGTGATGCACTTTATGAGAGGTATCTAAATAGAGAGAAAGCTATTCCCTCCATTCTCTTGAAAGAGATCTAATACATTGGTCCACAAGATTGCCACTCTAATGATGGCTTTATGTTTTAAAGCACTTACCATGGCTGGACACTGGAAGCACTTTTCATCTATCATTTCACTTAGCCTTTACCATAACTCTGTGTTTGTCCTCATTTACAAGTGAAAGCCAAGCAAGTCACCAAGAGTGCTTCATTTATTCACTCATTCATTCACCCACAGACATTTTAGGGGGTTCAGCTGTATCAAGTGCTTTGCTAAGAGGAAGGACAATAATATTTTCAGCTTTTACAACGTGTCAGTGTTAATACACTTTTGCATAAGGCAGCCATTATTAGCCTCCTTTAAAGGGTGAAGAAACCATGATTGATAGTAAAATGAAAAGCAAAACTATAAAAGTAAGGCTCTTATGACTACAAAGTCTGTCATTTGGAGTTACAAAATGCAGTACACTCACTTGAGAGGCTGAGGCAGGAGGATAGCCTTGAATTTGAGGCCAGCCTGGACTATACAGTGAGTTCAAGGCCGGGCTGAACTACATAATGAGACCCTGTCTCAAAAAACTGAAGGAAAAAAAAAAAAAAGGCTGTGGATGTAGCACAGTGTAAAGGCCTTGGGTTCAATTCCCAGTTTTGAAAAAGAAAGAAAGAAAGAAAAGAAAAGAAAAGAAAAAAGAAAAGAAAAGAAAAAGAAAGAAAATATACATACCCAACAAAGGTACAAAATGTAACAAAAGAAGTAAGAGATATTAGAAGAAGTATAACAACGTTCAAACCTGGGTGTGGTGTCACATGCCTATAATCCCAGCACTCTGGAGGCTGAGGCAGGAGGCTTGCCACAAATTTGAGGCCAGCCTTGGCTATATGAGGACCTTGTCTCAACAAACAAACAAAAAGTATAACAACATTCAGATTAGTGTTTCTTCTCTCTGAGGAAGGAGGCAAAATAGTATTCGTACTGTTTAGCAACTAAGTGAAATTGTGGATTCAAGGCCATTTGTTTTATTAAGTTTCATTACACAGATACTGTTTTATGGAGTGACTTTTCACACTACTTCAAAGAAAATCTCAGAGACTGAGGATTCAAGAATTGGGATCCTGCAAGAAAAAAATAGAATAGAAAGAAAAAAACAGAAACAAAGCTTTTGTAACTAAAGAGGGGAAGAGAGGTTGAAGGGAGGGAAGGGGAATGGGAAAAAAGAAACAAGATACACAGTGTACCAATTCCCTGTGCTGAATGTTATCACTACGTATATCTGAAATGTACCAGTAAAATAAAAAGAAAAAAACTGCTATTTATTATTACTCCAACTCAAAAAAAAAAGGAAAGAAAGAAAGAAAGAAAAAAAGAAAGAAAGAAAGAAAGGCACTGGGATCCTGGGGTCTCCCCCTCTCCCACTGTCCTTTCCTCAGGAGTGCCCCCGACTCTCAGTTACTTGGAGCCTGCAGGATTTAAATAGCTCCCACCCTGGACAATGCCTGCACGTTGGCCCAGCTTCTGTTTACCAAGGCCTTTTCTCGCCCACCGTCAGGGAACTGCTCCAACTCTGCACGCTTCTCGTTCATTTCCACAGTGTTCTGACGCCAGAGTGGGAAGCATGGTTTTGAAGTTCACTGGGTAAGTTTCTCTGCACCTTTGCAGTCATGCATGGTACTTCTTAAAATCTGACCACAGACACATTACATATTAATTACATAAAATATGATTATAGAAATGCACGATGATTAAAGTCACCTGTAATCTCATCACCAAATGATAAATGCTATTGATATTTTGGTCTCTTTTCTTTGTCTTTTCTGCGTGTATGAACACACAGTTTATTTATTTAAAAAAGGGATCATATGCTCAGCCTATTTATGCCATGAAACTGAATGAGATCAACAAAGGAGAGTATAGGTGGAAAAGATGTGACTCAAAGACAAGGGCACAATTGGAGGTTGAAGAAAAGAGAAATAGACAGACTGAGAAAAAGCAGCCAACAAATGAGAAGGGATAAATGGAGAAGGTAGTGTCTGAGAAGACAACAGAAAGAGGTGCTTTAAAAATATTGGGCTGGCTGTGGTGGCGCATGCCTATAATCCCAGCACTCAGGAGGCTGTGGCAGGAGGTTCACTATGAATTCAAGACCAATTTGGACTAGGTAGTGAGTTCAAGACCAGCCTAGAATACACAGAAATATCTGTCTCAAACAAAACAAAACAAAACAAAACAAAAAACCCGTAAGGGCCAGGAATATAGCTCAGCCAAATCATGTCTACCTGGCAAGCACGAGATCCCAAGTTCAATTCCCAGTACCAAAAATAAAATTAAATTAAATTTAAAAACCTTAAAAAAAAAATCCTTAGCTGGGCATGTTGGTGTGGTGGCACATGCCTGTGATCCTAGTACTTGGGAGACTGAGGCCGGTGGATCGTCCTGAGTGTGAGGCCAATGAAGACTACATAGTGAGATTCTGCTTCAAATGGAAAGAAAGGAAACTGAGTAAAGCCCAGTGTGGTGACATGCAGCTCCTCAGCCTAGACAATGAGACTCCACCTCAAAAAAAAGAAGGAAGGCCTGGAGATGCAGTTCATTTGTAGACTGCTTGTTGGCATGTGTGAGGCCCTGGGTTCAATTCTTAGTACCACAAAAAGAAAAAATTAATTCATCAATCAATTTAAAAAGACTACTGAGTCAGTTGCTACTGATGAGTCAAGAGAAATGACTATTGGGGGGAGCGCCGGTCATCGGACCGGCGGCTCACTCCCAGCCTCATAGGCCCCTGGAAGGAGGGCTTCCGGGGCACAGGGAGCCACAGGCGGGGAGCGCCGGTCTTCCGTCTGGCTAGCTTCCTGCCTCGTAGGCCCCTGGAGGGAGGGCCCCCAGCACATGGGGAGCCATGCGGCTGCGAGTGCTGTTGCGTGCCGCCGCTCAATTGAGATCTATCATGACACAGAGAAACAGTGACACAATTGG